GGCAGTATCGGCTTCGGCCTTCACCCGATCCACCTCAGCTTGGAGTTCCTTCACCTCCTCGACCCGCATACGCTCGGCATCTTCTGCCGCCAGAACTCAACCCTCCAACCCCCCATACGCTTCCTTCCATCGAGCCACCTCGGCCTCCAACGACGCCTTTTCACCAGATAAAACCTCTTGCGCCGAACGGGATTGTTGCAGAGCCGACTTAGAGTCCTCTAGGCTCTTCTGGAGGTTGTGCATGTCGCCCATCGGCTCTAAAGCCATCTTCCGAAAGATGGCAGTGGCCCTCACGTGCAATTCGCACGCCATCGCCCATCTAGCCGAAGGAGTAGCCGCATCAAGCATAACATGCCCTTGGGTCGACAACAGGTCAGACGACATCATTCGGTCCGGCCTGATCTCCTCCGATAGGTAGTCCTTAGCAACGATGGCCGAAGGAATGGCCAAATCCGTGGAAGGACCCTCAACCCTCCGTTGCTTGGGCCGAGAGGCTTCCGTACCTGCGGCATCGGTCTTCCTCTTCCTTTTGTCCTTTCTCTTTCTGCTCTTAGGATCGGGAAGGGCGATGACAGGAGGCGTTAGATGAAGAGCATCCGTGGCTTGAGGTTGTTGGTCAATGGCCACACTATGATGATCCTCGGCATAGGTCCCGGCCGGGGCTTTGTTCCTCATTAATTGCCGGTACGACAGTCCCAAACCTTGTTGCGCCATCCAACCTGCAAAAATCAAACAAGTCACACATCAACTTAACAAGCACAATCAATCGGAAGTAACAAAACATACCCTCTAAGTCAAAACGAGGCCGAGGCGATTTGGGCAGCAGCACCAGAAACCGAGAGGGGATGCACTTCGGCAATCCCTTAAGAACGTCTAAAGCCGACAACTCGGCATCGGTCATCATATCCTCCGGAAAGTCATCGTATTTCCGAGGTTGTCGGGTCCAATAAAAAGGAAAAAGGGGTTTCTGCTCGGCATCGTAAAAATAACTCCGAACGGCAACGGGGTCTATGATTACTTTCACAAACCCGGACTTGAAACCCTTAAAGGACGACGTGAAGGGTGTCAACAGCGGTCGGTCGGGATTCCGAATCAAAGACAGCCACTTCACAGTCTTATTAGACGGACGCGTACAGAAAAAATGTAAAAATAAACCTACAGTTGGCTCTATGTAATGGTATTTACATAGCACCCGAAACGCTTGCATATAAGCCCACGCATTCGAGTGCAATTGGGTCGGGGCCACATTCAACACACGAAGGACCCCCATCTGAAATTCATCGAAAGGGAGCGACATCCCTAGCTCTCGGAAAAAACACTCGTACATGTAGAAGAAATCTCCCTGATCCTCCCGCTTCGCCAGAAAAACCAGATCAAGCTCCCCTGGACCTTCGGCCCGGCATCGACGCAACATAATAGGGTAAGGATCCCAACCTTCCCATCAACCCATCGTGCAGAGACCGAGAAGACGTTTCACGGCAGCCCTCTCATGAAAACGAGAGAAATACGCCGCCACCTCACCATCGACCCAATCATACCCAGGGATGTCACACGGAGGGTACTTCTGCCTATAATCCCCAGGACTCATTTCGGTGTCGGGCAATTCTGACCCGGATGAACTCCCTGTCTCCCCACTATGCTCCGGTCCCGACCCACTTGGACCCCCAACTATTTCTACTTCAGTGTTAAATGCTAACATCTCGGCTTCCACATGTTTTTAACTTGATATTCATACAGCCGGCTTCTCATTGTTATAATAGGTAAGCTATAGATAAGAAAGATGAACAGAAATAAATAAATAGGACTTATTATTTTTTAATTTTTTCCCCTCTTATTTTTCTTTGATAAAATAATTTTACTTATTTTTGCTCGTATTTTCACTCTTTTTAACCTAATTCTTACTCATTTTCTCTTAACCAAATAAAGCATTAATAAAATTTCCTTTTCCAATATTTTTTTTTTTTTTAGATCTTATCAAAGAGATTGGCTCCAATGCTAATTGGACTAACTACTTGTTTATACTATTAGAATTTAAATATAAATATATTTAAATTAAAATAAATTTAAATATATTTTTAATCTTTTAAATTTAAGTAAATTTGGATAACTCAAATTTAAAACTATTTTTTTATCTTTGTAATTTTTAAAATATTGTTTTAATCTCTGAAACCACTAATAATACATCTAAAAATAACAAATTGAAAAAGTTATATAATATCAACGAAATTTAATGTAAAAGAAACACTAGTAAGTAGATTGTGTAAGACAATATTGATTTCTTTAAAAAATTGAATATAAGGATTAAAACAAATTTGTTATAGTTTTTATTTATTTAATAATGAGTAGTTATAGATAGAATTCAAAATGCATGTCTAATATTGAAAAGATCATGTCGTACCCTAGAAGACTTGCGTGAGTGTCTATGGATAAGTCCTTTAGAATAGTGCATTACACACCTCAAGAGTTTAAATTAGTTTGTGTTCTCAACATTCATGGACAACAATCTAAAAGACTTAAAGTTGTCTACAAAAATTCTTGATGAATGTGAGAGATGAGCACGAGACTATGACAACAAAGAGAACGCAACTTATGCACTACTGCGACGATCACATGTGGAGGAGAACAAGGTGTCAATTGGTTAGTTCTATGTGATTCTACCATTGTTGAGTCTCCTGTAAAGCAATGAATTTTGTAGGAAGAAGAAATTCATACCAATAACGGTAAGCATAATTAATTTGCCAACCAATTTGGTAAGAATTTGTCCAAATTTTATTGATCAATATGTGTTAAATATTTTATGTTTAGATATCATGGT